AAGTAAATCACATCTTCCAAGTTGATTGGAAGATGTGAACCATGACCCCAAAATAAGGGGGTGGGAAATGCTTAGAATGTATATGCGTAACGGAAGAGAAGCCAGACCTAAGCATTTCCACCATGCTGTACTGACGTCTCTGTAACCTTAATAAATGCTTTTAGGAAAAAATATGCCTGAAAGTCCTTTTAAGTGTTTCATTAATCAGACACATGACAGAACTGTTATAAATCGAGGCCAACCTGTAGATAAGACTGCGGCATGTTTGTGTTCCTGTCTCATTTCCATTATACTCCCATCCAGGCAGGTGAAGAAATCAACACTGAATCCTAATGCAAAAGAATTCAACCCGTCAAAGACTCTTCTTTCTGTGGTGCGTAACTAGCTCTGGGACTAGTATGGGTTGATGGGGTGGGTTTTTTGGGGGATAACAGCATGTTCAGTAATCTCTTAGCTGTTTTCATAGTTAAATATCTAATCATGGCTGCCTTTTTTCCCCCAGAACAAATCACCAAGTACTCCTACATCACCAGGGCCACGCACCCATTCTACACCCTCTATCCCAGTGATTACACCAGGGCAAAGTGGCATGTACAGCACACAATATATTTCTTACATCCCACAGATTCACATGAGCCCAGCTGTGCAGGTGAGGTGGGGAGAACGATACCTGAATGGTCCTATCTTTGCACTGCAAATTATTGGTTCTTTATGAAGTATATCAGGCACGGTAGTAAGGATACCGTTAGAATTAATTAGTTTACTGCTATTCTCTGCAGACACCTCAGATGTACCCCTATCCTGTTTCCAATTCTGTGCCCGGACAGCAAGGGAAATACCGAGCTAAAGGTGAGATTCTTGGCCAGAGCCTCATTGATCATGGGAAATTTGCCTGGAAGGCTCAACTGTTCAGCCACTTGGAGAAAAAAAAAAACACAAGAGTATAAATGGCTTTTCTTAACCCATTTCTTTTTCCTGAACAGGGTCTCTACCTCCCCAGCGTTCAGACCAGCACCAGCCCACCTCAGCTCCTCCCATTATGCAAGCAGCAGCAGCTGCAGGGCCCCCTCTGGTAGCTGCAACTCCATACTCTTCATACATCTCATACAATCCCCAGCAGTTCACAGGACAGCCTACTATGATGCAGCCCATGGCCCACTATCCCTCGCAGGTGGGGACAATAAATATTCAAGGGAAACCAGATATGTGTGTTTTATCTGTTTTAATCACATTTTCTATCTTTTTCCTTCCCTCTAGCCTGTGTTTGCCCCCATGCTGCAGAGTAACCCCCGTATGATGACATCTGGCAGTCACCCCCAAGCTATCGTCTCATCATCTACTCCACAGTATCCTCCTGCAGAACAGCCTACGCCCCAAACTCTTTATGGTACCTTTATTGTTAGCTGAAAGTCTGAGCTTTTTTTCTCCCCCCCCCCCATGTTGCCTTGTTGACTGCTGCTTGCTGCTTCTCTCCCCAGCCACAGTGCATCAATCGTATCCCCATCATGCCACACAGCTGCATCCGCATCAGCCTCAACCAGCTACCACACCCACGGGCAACCAGCAGCAAACACAACATGCCGCCCCCAGCCCTGTGCAGGTACTTGGAGGGAGGGGGAGGAACCAAGTATGGGGTTACTGCATAGGAGACACTTAATGCTTGTCTTGGCACTCAACACCCTGCTATTTGATTTTACATTTGAAGTTGGTCCTAGAGCACCATGATCCTTGAAGCTGTAGAAATTCTAGGTTGGCATGAAAAGGAATCTTGCTTTTAAAGTGATGCTCTGTCTATCTCAGTTCCTGAAACTGCTGTTACGGAATTGAAGCTCCAGGGACAAACTTATTAATCCTTGCATGCTTTATTTGGGGGGGGGGAATGCGATCTAGGAATTAAACAAGATGCTGCTTTGTAACTACTTTTGATTTGGGTATTAATATAAGAGACGTTTGGGGGGGGAGTATTTTCTGCAAGGGAAATGCAGAACTGAGGACAGGTGAGTGGTTAGAACCTACCCACCATAACTGACATGTAGTTTTTGGGTAGGATCTCTAAATAAATTTACTTTCTCTGGAAACACATTCAAAATGTGAATAATTTAAATCTATGACAGCATGATAAATTAGTCAGGGGGTTATGTGTTATAGGAAGAAGATCGGAGAACTGGAAGGCTAATTTAATAAAAGCTGTAATTAAAAACAAAGTTAATAAAACAAGGAGTCATTTTCTATCCTTCCCACGGATAAAATGTATGCTAACCTGAGTTTAAAATCTTGCTTTTCTCTATAAAATACTAAACATTTTCTTTGGCAATAATACAAAAAGAAAAAAATACTGCAAACTCTGGTGGTTGAAGTGTGACTCTTGTGCTCTCTACTATAGCACCAAGCTGGACAACCACCTCACTTGGCCAGTGCTCAGCAGCAGCAGAACCTGTACCACGCTGCTACACTGGCAGCTACGCCACCCTCCATGACCCCGGGGCCCAGCGCTCAGTCGCCACAGAGCGGTTTCCCACAGCCGGCAGTTTATGCCATTCATGCCCATCAGCAGCTGCAGCACGGATACACCAACATGGCCCATGTCACTCAGGTGAGTATGCCTGGCTCTGGGAAGGGAAAGGGGGCAGCGGTCTTGACCATGGAAGACATTTCTGTCCTCATAAATACTCAGGAGATGGATATGACCAGTAAGGGGTTTTTTGCGGCAGTTGATGTATGAGAAAAATGGCAGGGTAATGATTTTATCTACTTCAATACATACTGGGATTGCTTGGGAAAAATCATTTAAAAATCAACAGGGTACTACATAAGTTTGAGCAAAGATTGTGTCAGTATTAGTGAGCAAGAACAGCAATTGTTCCATGAATTATTTGTTATTTAATAATGTTTCATTATTAAATATTCTTTGAACAATACTTGGAATTAGGTTAAGTGCCTCGTCTAAATTTCAGTAGCATGAGTTACATCAGTTGCTAAATATATGTTCCTAAATTAGAAAAATTGGCATTTTCTCTGCTGGCCTAATTAGTTGATAAATTGGTGTGTCATTTATTAAAATCCTCAAACTATTTTTGTCTACTGCAGGCCCATGTCCAGACTGGAATTGCAGCTGCCCCACCACCTCACCCTGGAGCTCCCCAAGTCATGTTATTGCATCCGTCACAGACTCATGGTGGACCCCCTCAAGGAGGTGTGCCCCAGAGTGGTGTGCCCACCCTTTCTGCCTCCACACCATCCCCCTACACATACATAGGGCACCACCAAGGTAAGACTGTTATTTAAAGCCAGGGGTGGAGTGGGGAGAAGGTGGACTAAATAGGAAAGATGAGCCCTCGGATGTACCAAACATCCCCACCTAGCATGTCTATAGGGGTGGCATTTCTGATCAGATAAATTAACTGCTCTGAAGAATTGATTGAGCATTGATGGCAATTGGGCAGGGCTTGTCCTGCAGATAATACTGTTTTGGACTCTGGTGTGCCTTTGTGGTCCTCACTGCCTCTTTCTTCTCTTTCCAGTTCAGTCTCATCCCTCCCAGCAGCTATCATTCCACACCCCTGGGAATTGATGTCCACGCTTCTCCCTGTGACCTGAGACCCCAGCCAGCTATGGCTCTGTTGCTGACCCCCCAAGCCTGGGCCATCCCTTGTGCCCAAGTTAGAGGCCTCTGAAGGGATGCAGTCTGGCCCAGCCCTCTTGGCAAGCACCTTCCGTTCCGTTGGTTTAGTGAAGCCTGCCCAGGGTACTGTTGACCAGCGGGATGGAGCAAGACCCCTTTCCATTGCCCAGAGGAGGGCAGGGTTTATTTTCTGTTATTTATAACTCCATTGGGGTTCCTAGAGCAAGTGCCACTTTCCCACATTAACTTGACAAGGACATGACCATATGGACAAATCTTGACTTTTTATTAAGTAAAAATATTTAAAAAGTTAAAAAAATAAAATTTTAAACTAACTAATGTTGGACTTGGGGTGAATGTGTGGGAGGGCCAGTTTGTAAACAACAATCCTTAATTGTGGTTCTGCAGCATCAGAGAGGAAGACTTTGTGACCTGTCCAGCATACGTAGCTCAACTAGACTTGAAGAACTGTTTTGGAATTCAGCATTATTGTCTAATAGCATAATTTTCCTCTCTGAAAATAGATCATCAAGGATTAGTAGTTTTGAGTGACAGTGAAACAAACCCTAAACCAGTAGTTTTTAGTGCTGGGGTTATCCTGTGAATGCAGTACACACCAAATTAAAATTTTAATTGATGCTTTTATTGGAATCAATGACACCATATGAAATTTAAGGACTTTGGGGATGAGCAGAAATGGTATATTTGTGCCATAATTCAACTTAGGCTCTGTAGGAGTCTTAAGTTACTATTGTTTTTTCAGAGTAGTTATAAAAAAGAAAACAAGGATGATGGTGTGACTGAGATGTTAAATCTTTTTTATTAGCAGATACCATTTTGAATAACTTAAAAGTCCCAGTTTTATGCCTCAGCAAGTCACCATCTGAGAATTCTTTTAAAATGAGCGCAGGTTAAGTTCAGTGTTGTGGACCATGAGCTTTTTGCTGCTCTTCAATGAAATTCAGTTTTTATTTGTCACCCTGTGTCATAGTCTTACTTTGATCCTGGCTATCAAATCTGAGGTATAAGGGATCTGGCATTGTATATAGGAATCTTACAGCTGTAATCTGAACCAACAGTTGTGAAATGGTGAGTAAAGGAAAAGTCCTTATTTTAACAGGAAAAAAACACTATAGAAGAAAACAAACTTTAGAATTAAGGATATTAGTCCCTTCTCAACTACTATAATTCTGCTGGTCATATTTGTGAAACAGGTTGGCAATGCTTAATCAGGCTAAAACTTGTACATTAAATTTTATCAAAATGATGTTAGTGGTTCATGTAATTAGTTGCAAAAATAAGGCTGTGTATGGTTGATAGTATTTAACATCTCTTTAAAAAAAAACCCTTTGTCAATGCAGAGTTAAAATACTGCTGGAGAACATAAAGTGATGCATTTCACTTCTTCCAATGAGCACTTTAGCTAGTTTGCAAATCATATTTCTTCTTTTCCATCAAAACAACAGTAATAATTTCCATCTCCACTTTTTTACACATGCAGATTTTTTTTCTTACATTTTCAATATTTTGTGATTTCGTGTTTCCTTTCTATGTATAGCAGCACAAAAACATAACAAATATATGCTTCTGTAGGGTTCTTGGTGCTCCAAAATTATGTTATCTGATTGGGTAATGAAATGTCTGCAAGTAAAAGCACAGAACACCCAAGAAGCTCACAGTTCAACCCCAAACTACATATATTATCTTCTGTTGGAAATGTGCTGCTTTTTAATGCTGCTTATCTGTAATGGATTAAGGTTGCATACCGTGTTCCCCAGAAAATAAGACTGGGTCTTATATTAATTTTTACTCCAAAAGACGCATTAGGACTTATTTTCCAGTTAGGGCTTATATTCGGAAAAATACGGTACTAAATGCGTCTGGCTGGCTATCTTAACTGGGGCTTATTTTTGGGGTAGGGCTTACGAGCATCCTGAGAAATCATGCTAGGGCTTATTTTCAGGAAAACAGGGTAGCAAGTTTATGTACTTACGATGCACAGATGTTTTGGAGCTTCAGCACACCTGAATTGAGCTAGGGATGATTCTGGAGGGGGAAAGAAAAGCTCACACTCACTTTTTGATTGTTTTTTATTTAAACAAGTCTCACCCTTGCCCCCAACCCCTTGGTGGAACCCTCTTTGAGCCAAGATTGCCATGTTCGTCTACTGTGCAGACTTAGATGCAGTGTCATCAGTTTTCTAGGAAGTATTCATGTCCAATTCCAGCTGGTGTAACTTAATTATCCCAGCAATCCTCCCCTGGAGCTAGTGGCAGTATCTTTGTGACCACTCCAGTGCCCATGGTTCGAGATCCATCCCGTAGAGTGAACCGCTGTCCTTGCTCCAAGACCATGGGGTATTGCAGTATGAGCTTAAGGCAGACATTGTCGCCCGGCATCACCATTTCCTACAGCAATAGAAGAGGAAAGGTATGAAGAGATGGCAGTCTACGCTTAGGCATGTATTCGTCCACAACTGCAAGAAATGTGGCAATCTAGAAATATTGAAATAACACGTTACAAACCCCACTACTTGGCAGTGAATTAGTAGGGGGAAAGCGATACAAACCTTTCCCTCGGGTAATTCTATGCGACAAGTCATATTCCAGGTCAGCGAGAACATAATTGGCATGAACCTAGACACAAAAGATGCTTGACGGCCACCTTCCTCCTTGGTCAGGATATAAACCTATGAAAGCAAAGCAATTTATTTTGCCTGTTTCAGCTTTACAGGATGGGAGAGCAGGTAGGGATACTAGCCTAGCATTCCCTAGTAATGTGTTAAGATGTGCTCCAAAGTTTTATGGACATCTCTATTTCCCAGCCCTCTACAGGATATGAGGCAGCAACCTAGTATTCTGCCTTCCCACATACATTTCCCTCACTCACCTGAGCCTCAACCTTCTGATGTGGCTGGATGGAGCCAGGCTTACACATGACCAATCCCCGCCGTAGATCTTCTCGCTTCACAGACCGGATCAAAGCACCCAAATTGTCTCCAGCTTGTGCCTGGACCAACTGTTTGTGGAACATCTCGACACCTGAAGCCAATTACACACATATTTCTGGAAATGTTGTGTAGCCTCCCCAGTTCCACAAAACTATACTTTAAGGATTGCCTCAGACATAATTTCAGGTCATAATTGTTTAGAAACAATTGGACCAGTAACATAATGAGAAAAGCTAAGCTAAAAACCACTGGAAGACCAAATTTGCAAAAAAAGGGGGGAGAGGGAGGATTCTACTTACCAATCACAACAGAGCGTAAATGTGTTTTGTAACCCACAAATTCACAATCTTCCCCTTTCTTAAGAATACCACGTTCAAGGGTACCTGCTACAACAGTGCCCCGCCCTAGAACAAATTATAGCCAGGTTAAATTATAAGTTAAATTATAAATTAAAAAAGCTATCTTCTACTGTTAATGAATCCCCATCTTTGGATGTGTGGAGTATAATATAAACGTTTGGTACCTGGAATGGAGTAAGTACGCTCTATGGGAAGCAGAAAAGGTTGATCAAGGTCACGTTTTGGCACAGGGATGTATTCATCCACTGTATCCAGAAGCTTTATGACAGAGTTCAATCCCAGTTCTGGATTTTGGTTCTACAAAAAAAACACAGGGGTCAGTAATACATCTTAATAAAGGGAGGAAATAAAAGGTACAGAGTTCAAGCAACATAACACTGACCTCTAAAGCGCATAGAGCAGACCCTATAATTACAGGAGCTGCTTCCCCATCATAGCCCAGCTCTGTAAGCAGCTCACGGATCTCCAGCTCCACTAGTTCCAACATTTCTTTATCATCAACTGCATCAGCTTTATTGATGTACACAACCACATGTTTCACTCCAATCTAGAATAATGTGAGGGAATAAAAAAGATGTGAAGAAGGTTCCTACTTTTTCCCTTGCTTGAAGGGAAAATTGCTTAAATTTGCCCTGTCTGAACAAATCTATCAGATGATCACTAGCTGTGTTTTTTAGATTACAACCAACCTGTTTAGCAAGCAGAAGGTGCTCTCTAGTCTGTGGCATTTGTCCATCTGTTGCAGCCACCACCAGGATGCAGCCATCTAGTGGTGCTGTTCCAATGATCATGTTCTATAGAGAAAAGAATAGGAAATGTGTCAGTTTCCAACATTTTACTAAGCTTAGATCACTGTGGTTGGCACAAAAATATCTCAAACAGGAAAGATACTTTTTGTATTTTTTTTCTTAAATTGTCCATGTATTTAAATACATCTTGCAAGTGCAATCATTAAGTACCTTCTGCCAGAGATTCTAAAATAGGAACATTGGAATTCTCAAAAGATTTCTTGGCATCCTAGTTCCCGTGCCTACCTTGATGTAATCAGCATGCCCAGGACAATCTGTGTGACCATAATGGCGGTTGGCTGTTGAATATTCTACATGGGAGGCATTAATTGTAATCCCCCGGGCCTTCTCTTCTGGTGCATTATCAATATCTTCATATTTCTTGTACTGGGCACTTCCGGTCTCTGAAAGAACTGGAACAAAAAATGTGAACGTGGCATCACGTGTGTTTAAACTGAAAGATTTGAAGGGCTGTTGCTATTCCTTGTCTGAGAGGAGAAGTCAGCCAAGCAATGCTTAAAGGCCCTTTTATTTTCTGAACTGTTGAATGAGCAAAAAGGACTTTTACGCATCTCAGCCTTTTTTCCCTTATGTGATTATAAGTATGAATAGAGAGAAAACAGCATCAAAGTCTTTCTTGCAGTTGATAAAAATGGGGGAGAAGCACATGGTGTTTAATTCTTCACCTGAGCTTCAAGTAAGGAGAAACCATTAAGTCTACCATGTGAGACTTTGAAACAATATTATGCTTGAAGTGATCTGAAATCCTCTGGAAGACTCTTGCAGTCTAACAGAGCCTTAACACCTTCAAATAAGTTGTGATAGTCATCAATTAAGATTATTATTGAAGGGTAACATTTTTATTCCCAATAGAAAGGCTGAAGCAGATTTTAGATGTGAATGCTAACTAAAAACAGAGAACCCAACTCAAAAAAACTATCCCTGGGAATTTTTTTAATATCAAGCTTTAATTTTACACCATCCTGTTTACTTATAGCTCTGGATCAACCTAGTCAATTGCTCCAATACTTTACTGGTGGTTCTTTAAATCAATGGCCCTCTAGCAAATAAAAAGGGTCTCTTTATTTGGTCTCCCTTTAACAAACTGCACTCATTTCTCCCCAACTCTCACTTTTAGTGATGGCTGCTGTTAATGTGGTCTTGCCATGATCCACATGCCCAATTGTTCCAATGTTTACATGTGGTTTGTCCCTTACAAATACTTTTTTTGCTTCAACTGCGAAACATCGAATTGGGAATTCTTGTCCACAGAAGCTTGTGCAATGTACCGGTGGCTGCAAAAAGACAAGTAGCAATATTAAAATCTCTATGAATTTCTGCCTCTAATTTGTATCAACACAGTATTTTTCTTTTCCACTCCCTGATGTAAAATGTTTCTTACCTTGGATAGTACATTTTGCAAGTACTGAGACAGGCAGCCACGTAGGCCTACAAGACACAAATACAATGATTGTGATAGGAATCTCAGTAGCTTATGATATTCTGCTTTTATGCACCACACTGCTTCCCATTCAAACATCCAATTGTACTTCGCATAGCCCACTGATATTGTTGTACTTCCAACCAAACCATCTTTGGACAT